AGCCACACCCATGCAGTTCTGAGCTCCACCCTCTCCCTACAACCCCAAGAATTTAACAGCAAACCTTTTTATATTGTTTTTCATTATGGTAAATAACTTGTCCATTTGTTTATGCTAAATTTTTTTTGCAAATAATTAGAAACTGCAGTGTGCTGTCTCTTGAATTTTAAAGACACCTTTTCAACAAACGACTGTGCACAAATTACAGATTCTTCTAGTCCTCTCCTGAATAATCTGCAGTTCATCACTATGGGATTGCAATGTGGAGTTAACTTTGAATTTTGTGTTTTATATCTGTCATGAGAGTAGTTTGTGTTGGAAGGGGCATTTAAAGAACATCTAGTCTAACTGCCCTGCTAGTGGCAGGGCCTTCTTTCCCTAGACCAGGTCAAAGCCCCATAGGGCAGTACCAGTGCGGTGGTATGGGTGTGTTTGTGTATGTGCACACACAGTTGCACACCAGTGCAGTTGTTTCTGGACAATTGTAGACAGCACTTCCCTGGGTAGAGGTAAAACTGCAGAGGCCATGATAGTGGAGTGGTAGTTGTACTTGATTTGGGGTCTTTCAGTTCATAAACATGTTTCTGAAAAATATTTTTTCCATAGTTGTCAGCTGCAAATCACTTTTATCTTCAGATATCATGTACTGTAACTGTACTTTGTTCTCAGACATCAGATCTTACTACCTACACAAATTCCTAGTATAGAATAAAAGAAGTTCCTAATAACTAATATACTGATTCAGCTGGTGAGATATTTCAAAAATTTGTAATTTGAGTTGCTGAATTCTTGTACCACAGGAAAGCATTTTGGATTTTTTTATTAGGTAATGAAAAAAGAAACCCAACAGTAACAAGCTAAAACCAGCATATTTTTATTGCAATCATTACTTAGGAGAAATCTTAACAGTAAAATTGCCTTTGGGGAGGCAGGTGCAGAAGACATGCAGAGCATGATCCTTTCTGCTCATATGATAAGGATTGGGAGTCTGAATAACAGACTAACATGCTGAATAACATACTTCATCCAGCTTTATTCCAGTGCTGGAATAAACTATACTACTACTTCATCTTAAACATATAGCAGTAGCTCTGAGCTAATTTATGGAAGTCACAATTGCTTACCAAGGAATTTAGTTTATGCATTTCAGTTTAGAATGACTCCTTCCCCAGAACATTTTTGTGAAGCGCTGCTCCTCCCCTGAGCAGCTAGCAGTGGAAGTTCTCAGCGAGTTGTATACAGAAGTGTATTAGATAGCAACGTAAAAATATTAAAGCCCACCAGGTGGTGCCAGAAGGCCTGATCACTGGTGGCTCTGACAGCTGGAACAGAGCTGAGAAAGTGCAAGCCTGCCACTTTTGGCAGAAATTGTATCATCTAAATGCGAGCAATAAATGCAATTACCCTTCCTCTCCTTCCAAACTTCTCTACCCCTAAAGCATTTCCTCAGCAAATACTTTCTTCTGTGTTCATGATGGTAAAATTTAAATATGCTGGTTAGGAGTGAGGCACTTAAAATTGTGATACTTGGTGTCAGCATTAATTATCATTGGTTTTGTCTGCTAGCATCCCTCTTCTGTGGATAGCAGAGCCATGAAGCTTTCACTAAACAGCATTATGCCATGTGTTGCAGTGAAATGCATGCAATTTTATGGAAATACAGACTTGAATGTTAAGTAAAATTTAAGCTAGAGAATTATTTTAGGTGGTTGTACTTACTTTCATGGAGTTAAAAGTTCATATAACCATTGTAATGTTTGTAAACAATTAAGTTTTTAGAAAGGGGATAAGATATTTCACAGTAAGAAGTCTGTGCATGTTGTTTTTTCCATAATTTCCCTTTATACTGCCAAAAATTTTTTTCATTACTTTTTTTTTTCTGTCCTTATGTCATGTCTTTCTGCCTGTTTTGATAGTATGATTCCACTATTCTCAAATAGAACTGGTATGATTGACAATTTGTAATGCTAGTGTTTTTAATCTAACACTTAATAGCCTCTGAAACACTCTGCAATAATTAGACTACTATCAGACAAAGCAGTCATCAATTTCCACACTTTTTCCTAAAGTGTGCTTTTGTGTAGAAAGGCTTGTAAAAACAGATGAGCAACACACCTGGGCTGGTGAGTAGCAGCTCACAAGTCAAAACAATGTCTGTCTTGTAAGTGAAACCTGCCGCTGCACTGATCATGACCTGTGCTGTTGGGTGTTGGAGGAATGGGTGTCTGACAAGTAGGCAGTGGCTCTTCTCTTCCAGAAGTTACTGGCAGTCTGTAAAGTCGATTTGGATGTGTCACTTTGTATCCAAAAAACCCCTACTTATGTATGTTGGATTTATTTTAGTGTATCTGCCACTATCAACAGAATGACTTTAAAAAGTTGATTGTTTCATAGGTCATCTTACATTTTGCCAAACAAGATGCATCAGAAGTGTGTTTTGGTTTTGTGTTTCCTACGTTTATGTGAAGCACGACATTTCTTGAGACTTGCAGTAAAAGATTTTTCATTTTATGACTTAATTATCTTCTCTTTATGATTTTCCGTATTAGGACATCAAGATATTTGCATGTTGGCATTAAGTCTGATATTTTGTCATTTATCACTTTTAAGAATCCTAAGTTGTACAGGATTTAGTATATTTGTAATTAAAAAAGTAAGACTTAACTTATATATTCTTTAAATTCCAAGTGTTCTTAAAGTGCATCAGTTTGTTTTCAAAAAATGAGGTTTTATGCCTCATTGTTAGTAACTTCACAACTGTCGCTATGCAAGTGAAATGTATTGAATTCAGAATACTAGTGTTAGGAAAGCAGAGTTTCTTCTCCAGTAGGGCTTGAAACTAGTAACAGTTACTGGCTTAGTTTCTGGCAAATCAGTTTAAACAGCTGGATCTGGTTTTAACTTCAGTAGCCTTGTGTCCATCCATTGGTTCAGAGAGCATAGTGAAGCACTTTATTAAGTGCTAGCAAATTAATTGTGACTTTAAAAGGATTATGAATAAATTTTCTGTCTCCAAAGCATGATTTCAAATTTGAGAATATTCTATTAAAAAAAAACTTTACTGGTAGAAAACCATATCTTTTGTTCTGGTTTAATTATTTTTCTATACATAACTGCATAAGCAATGCAATCAAAATATCTAGTACTTTATATTTTCACTGTGAATTGGAAATCCTGTGAGGGGGAAGTATGTAATACTGGTGTTACAAAATACTTCCCTTGAATAACAGTTCAACAGCTTACTGTAAAAGGGTGTATTATTTTCTAAATCTGAAGATTTTTCACATTTTGTGGATTTGTGAAGGTAGTGATGGTTGGTTTGTGTTTTGGAGGGATTGTTCTTTTAGTTTTGTGGGGCTTTTTAGATCAGAAGATATAAGATTACAATTACTTCTCAACTAATAGCTCAACTAATAGCTGGAGGAGAATAGTTATCTTGTATTTTTATGCAGTACCTGTGAGATTGAGTATGGTAGTATATCACAGCAGTGCTATGATTTTAGAGTTGGTTTTTCATAATCTGTGATGGTTCTCTATTAATGTGTTTTGGTCCATAGGAGAATACATCGGAGTTCAGTAGAAAAATAATCCTTATGCTGTATTTGTAGTAAAGTAGTTAAGCAAACTAATTGGTTCCTGTTGGAATATTGTTGAATATTTTTGCCATGGTAGCTTTTAGCATTGTTGGGTATGCACTGTTAGATTTCAGGATGAGATGAAATGTGGAAAACTAGTATGTTTCTGTAAATAATTTTTTAATTTCAGAAGTTCTTATTGACTTCCTCACTGTAAATTGCTTAAGTTAGTTCTTTCTAAAATTTGCAGATGGCTCCCTACCGATTTTTCCAAAGTGTATTGCTCTTTGTTGCTGAACTGTTCCAAGAAGTTAATGGGTACAATTCATGAAAGAATTGTCAAGTGTTAGATGTAAATGCATTTTTCTGTGTAACAGTTTTACCATACCTTGAGATGTGTCACCTTTATGGTCTGTTATTCAGTAAGGTATTAGCTTAAGCTACATTTTTCCCTTGTCTGGATCACTAGTTAGGGACATTCTTCAGGTTTTAACCCCTGTATGAAAATTGACAACAGTTTCCAAAACTGAAGTAAAAGAGGGAAGAGAGTGCTGACTCACAGATTAGACCGGCCCCATCTCTCACAGATTAGCAGTGACATTTCTTAAGGAAGTGATCTGATCTCACTTGCCTCTTTTGTAAGCAACACTGAAGTAGGGAATTCTTATACATAAATGTTTCTGGCCCAGAAATGTTATTCTGAAATAAATTAACCTGTAATGCTTAGATTTTTTTCACATGGTAAAAATTTTCTGGTTTTAAATCCTGGAAAGAGTATTAAAAAATTGTTCTCAGTTACTTCCCTTATCTAGGGGAATGTGATGACTAAGTGCTTTAGGAATTTGATGATCTTAGGTGGAAAGAATTGCCAGAAACTTAAAGAGATCTATGAATCATCAGATCTATGAACTATTGACCTGCTCAACAAATTGCTGGTATAAGCAGTCATTGCAGTGAAATCAGTGCTTTTAAAAGCTTTTGTGTTGCATTTTTTTCACCAGTCTTTTTTAAACTTGTGTGAGGCAAAGTTATTCTGCTATGTGAGTGGGAGCATATTATTTCTAACCAAATAGATTAGTTAGATACTTTGATTGGTACTTTAACCCTGTAGAGATAACACAGTTTCTCTAAGTTAGTAGTCATACCTCCCTGTGTTAAGCTCAATGGTTTTTAAGAAGCTTTCCTTTCTCTTTGTAATTGACATAGTGACCTAGAAATACACTGTGATTAGGGGATAAAAGTAGCAGCGCTTGTATTTGTTTAGCCATATATGTCCTGTGTTGCTGAATGTTTTCAGAATAATAAAATGTGAAGGAATATCCTGTTGCATATGAAAACAAACATTAAAGTGGGGCTTGGTTAAGATGGAATATTTTTTGTTTCAAAATCAAGCTACTTATAAACTTAATCTGTTTTATTTTTCAGAGTACAGTAATTGAGAGAGCATCTTTTACATTTGAAGAAGGACAAGTTGTTGATTGAATGGTGGATTAATAAGTGATTGTCTCATCCTAAGACTAAAAAGAAGATCCTGGAAGTTGGAAAGAACTGGATTTTCACCCTAGTCCAGCAGCTTTGCTGCTCACTTAAACACAGATGAATGAAGACCCCATTTGGAAAATCACCAGGTCAGCGGTCCAGAGCTGATGCAGGTGAGGTGTTCTTTCTGAATGGTTTTCTTTGCTTTTAATGGATGAAAATCATTCTTACTTTACTGACTTCTTACATATGTGAATGATTTTCTGCACATGTTGATAATTTTAGATGTCAGCATTCCTCTTTTAAAAGAAAATTTGCTTTTATTCTAGAAGATCATGGCTTGAAAAGACAAACTAAAAAATTAACTAGTATATTTAAATGTAAATGCAGCATTACAGATCTGACTGTCCTATTTGTGTTGTGTCAAAAGTTATTTATCAGTGACCTGTGTGGAGAAAGCAACATAATTTTTTATCACCAACCATTGTGAATTGTAGCTTTTATGAAACTGTCAAAAAACCAACTGACAAGTGCAATTGGGAAAGCTCAGTTAATTTTTAAAATACCTATGCAACAGATGATTTGGGTGCCGCCAAATACACGTTTGATTCATTGAAACATGGAACTGATGCTGGAGGATTTCTCAGTAACCCTTTGGAGACTTTCAAACTTTTATTTTACCTGAGAATGTGTTAAAATTTGCTGTCACTTGTTTGAAACATGTACTGATTCCAATAGTAATGCAGTTATCTTTCAAGTAAGAGCTAGGGGTTTCAAAGGAGAGATCCAATGCAAAATCTTAAACACTTGGTTCAGTGACCAAATGGAGACAGTGATGACTGGAGCTCCTCGGGTGTTACTATTGGGAGCAGCATTGTTTAACATCTTATTCAGTGGTAGGGATGGTGGGATTGGGTGCACTCTCAGCAGGTTTGCTGATGACACCAAGCTATGTGTTGCAGTCAGCATGCTGGAGGGAAGGAATGCTATCCGGAAGAACCTGGACAGGATTGAGAGGTGGGCCCTGCATGCCTTGGGATGTTCAACAAAGCCGAATGCCAGGGGCTGCCTTTGTGCTGGGGCAATTCCAAGCACAAATATATCATGGACAGAGAATGGACTGAGGACAGCCTTGACAAGAAGGATTTGGGGGTGTTGGCAAATAGGAAGCTCAACATCTCCCATCAGCGTCACAGTCATGCAGACACACTCACAGCCCCAGTGGCCTCTCACATCCTGGGCTGCATCAAAAGCAGCATGACTAGCAGGTTGAGGGATGTGCTACTGCCTTTCTAGTCCACTCCAATGAGACACCACCTGGAGTTCTGCATTCAGCTCTGGGGCTCCTAATGTAAGAATGATGTGGATCAGTTGGATTGAGTCCCGAAGGAGGGCCATGAAGATAATCTGAGGGCTGGAGCACCTGTCCCACAAGGGCAGGTTCCAGGAGCTGTGGTTGTTCAGCTGTGGTTGTTCAGGAGAGAGAAGGCCTCAAGGTGACCTAATTATGGCCCGCTGTTACCTGAAGGAGACTTCAAAGAAAGCTGTAGAGGAGCTATTTACAAGCTCTTGTAATGACAGGACAAGAGAAAATGGCTTCAGACTGAAAGATAGTAGGTCCAAAGGATGGCCATGAGTGACTAAAGCCATGGAGCTCCTCTCATGAGAAAAGGCTGAGAGTTGCAGTTGTTCACCCAGGAAAAGAGGAGGCTCCAGGAAGTGCAACCTTTTAGTTTTTAAATGGTACTTACAAAGAGGACAGAAAAAGGCTATTTGCCAAAGCCTTCGGTGGCAGTATATGGGGTAATTGTTTTAAGCAGAGAGTACAGTTAGGTTTGAGTATACAGAAGAAATTTTTTACAATGAGTATGTGTGGTGAAATACAGGAACAGGTTACCCAAATGTGAGTGACTCCTCGTTGGAAATATTTAAGGTTATGTTCAAAGTGATATTAAGCAACTTGATCTAGTGAAAAGTGCCTTCCCCCATCATAGGGCTGAACTAGGTAAACTTCAGAGAATCTCTGAGATTACCTAGAACAGCTGTAAAAAAAGGAAAAAAGTTCTACTTAAAGAAGTAACTTTTTAATCAGATTTGTTGAGCTTTGCTGCATTATGGATACAAATATCTTATTTACTGCCTTGCATTTTTAATGATGGTTGCTACTTTCCAAGAAACTTTACAAACACACATAAGGTTCCAGAATAGCTACATCTTAGGTAGAAATTAGAATTTTAAGTCTTGCCCATAAAATTTCTGTCATCTGAGATTGAATAATAAAGCAGTAATGTAGTCTTTATCAGGAGGAAAAAAATTAAAATGAGAAGATACAGTGAAAGAGTGGAAATAGCCTATGTATTTTATATTTTAATAATATAAAATATTATGTTAATAATATTTTATTAACATAAAATATTATTAATGCTAATAATTTAAAATAATAAAATTGTTGGATTTTAGGATCATGTATGGGTAGGTAGCAAAAAACAGTTCTGGAGGTTATAGATAAACCGGTGGTAGTGTCACGTTTTCATATAGGGCAAAACTTGATGCAATAACAAAGCATTTTTCGACTGGCTTTGATTTCATCCTTTTGTAGAGACTTGTCAGTCAGTGACACTGCAGGTTGGTAGCATCATTGACAAAGACAATTTTCAGCTGTCCTGTCTGTCTGCTTAAGAAGGAAATGGTTTTATAGATTGTTAACTAGGTGTAAAAGAAGAGCTATTTGTGATTTATAATATCTAGGCTTTTGAAATCTCTCTCTGGGAAACATACTTTGTATGTAGTTCCTTTTTGAGAAGCAAGGGGTAGGATTGAAGGGGGGGAAAGAAGGCAAGGTAGATACTTAATTGTTACATAACAGTAGAGTACATGGCTGCAGACTCTTGGAGTTTGTCGAAGTATAGAATTGCTTTCCATGATGTAGTTTCCGTGAATCAGACTGGGGCTCTTGACCGTGTGCCTCCCTGTCTCTCTAATTAGTGTACTGCTGTCCCAAATATAAGAGAAATACAGCCTTTTAAAAAAAAATTAATGTACTGTATATTTGACTGTAAAGTAAGATGTGATTACTCTGTGTTAACTCAATTGACACTTCTAAATCTAATGATCACCTGTATAATGCTGTATAAGTGAAAGGCATGGTTCTCTGGAGTCTTTCTTAGCTGTGTTCTCCCAGAGATACAGATTCCTGCTGAACTGCATGATGGTCAGGAACAATTGTAAAGCCTTTACTGGATGTTTTGAAAACAAAAAAGTACTCTCTTAGTAAAGAAAACTTTTAACACATGTATGGGCATATGATGATTGTATCATACATGAGCATTTGTAGCTTTTTCACTTGTAAATCAAGTGTAAATAGTTTCAGTATTGTTTTAATTAGCTAAGAAAAGAGATAATGCATGTGAATTGCTTAGAATTGCAGTGAAATCTTTTGTGCAGTTAGAATTTGGCTTATGTCTGTACTTCTGACCTACTTCAATTAAAAGACCTTCCTTCTTCAAACTCTAAGTTGAGGTTGAGCAATACTAGGTGTGAATCAGTGCACTGAAGTGTTTCTTAGGTCCATGAAAGTAATTCTGAAATAGTCTCCAGAGTTCACACTGCTGTTCACACTGATGATTCTGGAACACAACTTTAAAACATCTAGGTTTTGCTGCCTGTTGTAAACATAGGAGATATTCAGAGAAGTAAAATATAGTTGCTGTTTTCTGGAGAGCCTGTCTGATTTTCATGGATTGCATGGAGGGTACCAACTCATGTCACAATAGCAAAACATTACCAGTAGCTTTCTCCTATCCTTCGTCCTATTCTCCTATAGCCCCAGCTGAAATGACATGTGTATTTCCCTTGAAGCCAACATCCTGAACAATTATTTTTTTAGTCTTGTCATACCCTATTTCTTTATCTTTGTCTGGAGTAAAGTTCAGAAACATGATTTCTAGTTTTGCTGTTGAATTTTAAGAGTTTATTATAAGGGGTTGAATCAATGAGCCTTTGAAAACACAAGTATTACAAAACACCATATGACAGTTGAATTCTTAATTCTGTTGCTTTTGTCTGGAAGCTGGAGGTTGTGGTCAATTTCTATTACAAAAAATATGTTTCTGTGCTCATAGTCATAATAAAATAAAACAGTTTTATATGAAAGGGACCTTTTAAAGGTCATCTTGTCCAACTCCTGCAATTAGTGGGAACATCTTCAACTAGATCTCATTTTTTTTTTCATAGAATATCCCCAGTCATTACTATGCCCCAAATTTGAAATCATGCTTCAGAGACAGAAAATTTATTCATAATCCTTTTAAAGTCACAATTAATTTGCTAGCACTTAATAAAGTGCTTCACTATACTCTCTGAACCAATGGATGGACACAAGGCTACTGAAGTTGCAGTGAAGACTTGGACACTTCCAGGAATGGGGCAACCACCAACTGGGCAACCTGTGCTAGTATTTCACCACATTCAATGTACAAATCGGTTTTTAAAATCGTTACCCTGTGTCCTGTTGCAACAGGTCCTGCTAAAAAGTCTGTCCATGTATTTCTAATAGGCCCCCTTCACGTACTGGAAGGCTGCAGTAAGGTCTCTTCAGAGCCTTCTCTTCTCCGGGCCAAACAATCCCAACTATCATGTTTCTTCATGCAGGAGGTGCTCCAGCCCTCCAGTGATATTTGTGGCCTTCCTGTGACCTGATTCCAGCAGGTCTCTTCAGTGCTAGGACCTCTGGATGCAGGGTTCCAGTTGGTGTCTTACCAGAGCAGAGGGGCAGAATCCCCTCCCTGCCCTGCTGCCCACGCTGCTCTGGATGCAGTCCAGGACACGTTTGGCTCTCTGGGCTGGGAGTGCCCATGGCTGGGTCATGTCATCCACCTGCTCCATCCTTGTGGACCAAGATGAATTCAGGAGGCAGGTAGTTCTTATTTTGACCTTCTGACTAGAATATGTTAAACCTAAGGATTCTGTGCTGTCCTCTCCACATGTCCAGAGCTGCTGTAGAGGACAGAGAAACTCTTGTTGCAATTTCTACAATTGTGTAGCTGTTATGAATTAACATAGTTTAGGTTTTAGTTAAGAAAAAAATCCATGAGCTATGGAAGTGATTCTCTGTAAGGACCTTGGCAGCTTCCTTTGGACCTGACAAAACCAATCAGTTGGCTAGTTTGAATATTGACAACCTGTTAAACCACTTAAAAGAGCTGAAAATGCCTCTGTGGAAAACGTGTTTAAAAATGGACAAATCCTGGGAAAAGCTCTCTTGCTTCTAGCCTTTCAGCAGGTAACTGGACGCTAGCCAGGCAACGCCTCACTCTGCTGTGTTGTCTGGCCAGGCCAGTCTGGCCCTGCGCTGCCTCATGGCCCAGCCAGCCCAGCCTGCAGCACAGCTTGGCTGAGATTCTGCTGCCACTGAGTTCCAACCACAGCCAGTGGACCATGCCGGCTCCATTCGGCTTTGGATGGAGCCAAGCCAGGCTCCATTCCAGCCATGAGCCACCAAGCCACTCTGCTGGTTCTGCAGAAAAATCATGTGGCTAAGAACAGAGATGGCTCTGCAGCCCTACACAGAAATCAGCCCCTGCAACTGGAATTTAATGCAGCAGGGACCAGAAAACAGCCATGCAACCAGAGTGGCCACTGCCTGGCAAAGATCATATAGCTGTCCACAGGCCTGGGCAAGATGTTAACATTTTTAGTGTACAGATGGAACTTGCAGACATCAATCCTCTCTCAAGTGAGAGAGAAGGAAAGGGTGAAGACACATAGAGAAAACAATATAGAGACACCAAGGTCCGTAAAGGAGGAGATGGGAGGAGAATGAGGAGATGCCTTAGTCTTGGGCTGAAAGTCTCTTGTATGGCTATGGTGAAGATATAATTGATACATCAGACGCTTTTTCCCCCCCTGTAACTCATGGAATGCGCTGGGGGATGTAGCATTCTAGCCACAGTGAGCAGAGGCATGAGTGTTGAAGCAAGGAGGTGTTGAAGTAGCTTGAACAGAGAGAGATGAGACAGATGAGAAACCTTTCCCCAAAGATGGAAGAAAACCTCTGTTTCCAGAGATAAAAGAAGAGAACTTTTATTTCTATACTAGAACAACTCATCCTTAAAATTGTACCCCAGTAAGCTGAAATGACTCACCTATGGTGATAGTTATGGAAAAAACTACCAAAACTTGGGAGGGACTTAATGATTGCAGATTTCCAGGCAGCTGCTATTTGTGAAGATTAAAACCATGAGGGGACTGTTTCTTGTGGAAAAGTCTCCATGGCATGGCAAGAGAGACTCTTCTCCCTAAGAGAACTGAAGAAAGACTATTTTAGAGGTGGTAAACTGACTGAAAGTCCCAGGCTTTGTCTCTTTACGTTGTCAGTGGAAAAGAGGGTGTGGTGGGAGGTGAAGTATTTTGAAGGTTTGTTCTGATTTCTTTCTATTTTTCTTTTAATTCTGTTAATAAAGTTTTCTTTATATCCTTTAAAGTTTGAGCCTGCTTTGCTCTCCTTCTAATCCTTATCTCACAGCAGAAAATGAGTAAGTAATTCTAGTGGGTGGACTGGCATTTGGCCAGCATTAGACCCACTACGGTAGCCAAGCAATTCAATAGTATAACCCCATATATCCTTAAAAGGAGTTTACATCTCTCTGAGACCTATCTGAATTCAGACTGTGCAAATTAAGAGGGCAAATTGTGGTAAATCAGGTTCTGGTTAGTACAAGAGTGTGTTTAACCTAGGATCTTCAAATACTTGATATATTTATTAAACATCCAAATGCCTTCACTTCATGTATTAAGCTAGGAGCTCTCTTAAGAGACTGACTTAAGATGATGAGTAGTACTTAGTTGTCTGTGTTGCCTTTGGTATAGAGCTCATTACATCAGTGAACAAGTTGAATCTTAGCAAAATTTGAAGATCCCAAGTGAAAACTTAGGAAACAGCAAAATCCCATTCCTGGAGGTCGGCATAACTTCTCTTCTGTACTTACTGCAAATGTTGGAGTAAATCTTCCTTCTGTGTCAATCTAGTGCTTCAGTTCTTGACTTTGAAAGATAAATTCTTCATATCTCCCTTCTCACAGGTTACAGAGTCCTTGAGAGGTGGACATAAGGCAAATTTTTGTGCTGCACCATTCTGTTGTTTTGCTGTGTTTTTACTTGAGCTACTTTAGCCAAAATCTTACTTTTCCCTCATTAGCTGGAAATGTAAAATGTTAAGTACATATGTTCATCTTCTGTTGATGCAGTTTCTCTATTTTGTAAGAACAGTTCTTGGATTTGACGAAATTACTTCTTTTAAAATAAAACATCACCATATTTTTAATAATTTTTTTTAAATTATATTACATATCATAGAATACAGCCTCATATACAGAGAGGTAACGGAAATTATGCTTAGAAAGTTTTTTTACAGGTTGTTATAAAGTCCTAAAGTCTTATGGGTTTCTAATCATACTTTTTGTGATTTTTTTTTTGGTCTTCCCAGCTAAGTTCTTACTCAATTTAATTGTTTGGTTTTGTAACAGTCAGAAATTGCAAGAAGGATCTTTACTGCAGTAATTGAAAGACAAGGTCTAATTTTTAAAAATTACAAACACTTCAGATATCATTACTGTTGGAAATGCAGATTCTTGACTATCTGATGAAAACTTGAATATACTAAACATAAGATTATTTTAATTATAATTAATTATATTAGTTCTGCCATTTCTGTAACTTTGTGTATGCCCTCTTAAATTTTGCCTACAAAAATTAAAATAGTAAAATACTTATGAAGACTTCAAAGACTATTGGTACTGTCACTGCTTGACTCCTGTATGATTCTCTTCAATATGTATGTAGTTATAGATATGCTTGGAACATGAACATAGTGTAAATTTGAAAGAATTGGTTTGTTTAAGCCTATAGAGAAATTAAAGCACTTCTCTGCAAATGTTAATTCAAGCATTCCTAGTTAAAATTCTAGGCATGTTTGTACATAAACACAAGCTGTTAGAGTTATACATGGTTCAATCCAGCACTGTGACCAGATTGTTTTAGATATGGCAACCAAGAAGGAAAAAATCCAAAACAGTCCAAAACAAGGTCCTGTGAAGAAATTTTAACTCCATACTGTTCAGAGGCTGTATAGTGAGGAAGACAAGGAGAATCAGAATCAAGGTCAGTTATCTTCTGGCCATGTGGTCACCATCAGGCATCACTTTAACAGGGGCTGTTTCAGTCAACCCCAGTAAATGATCCCTGTACAGGTGACCTCTGACTGTGATCTGAGCCTGCAGTTTTCATTCCAATAACTAATTTTGATTTTTCTACCTGTACGCATTACCTTTTATGTACAGTGTTCTTTTGAACGTGTTTTTCTGTCATTTTGGTCTTGCGTATTTCCTCTGGTGAATTCTTCATGGCTGCTCTCTTCCAGCAGAAGCCTGATTTCCGCTTTCCTCATTTCATCTTATTAAAAGCTTTCCATTTTTCAGATTCATCCCAAGTTATCGCTGGGTTTAGTGCAGTGCTCTTCTTTTAGTAAAAATTTATTTATTTTTAAGTTTTTTATGTGCTCTGTTAGGCACAGGTAGTGCTGATCTTGCTAACTCAGGATGGTGTATATTGGCATCTCCTTTTACTAACTCAAGGATGGAAGCTTAAAACAGCCTGGTGATTCACTATTGTTGCTGATTGACCATTGCAACTACTGTCTCGGTTGTGTTTAGTTCAACTTCCATTTTAATAGTTGCTGTCACTCGTTAACATTCATCACTGAGCTTCTGTGTTGGGTTCGCATGGCAAGGTGCCAGGGGAGTGCAAGGGTGACTTCTGTGAGAAGTAGGTAGAAGCTTCTCCTGTGTCCAAGAGAGCCAGTGCCAGCCTGCTCCAAGATGGATCTGCCACTGGCCAAAGCTGAGCCTGTCAGTGATGGTGGTAGTGCCACTGGGCATTGTATTGAAGAACAGGGGAAAGATTCTGCCCCATAGCAGTTGCAGGAGAGGAGTGAAACTGTGTAAGCACAGCAGCCCTGCAGACTCCAAGGTCACTGCGGAAGGTGAGGGAGGAGGTGCTTCAGGCCCTGGAGCAGAGGGTCCAGTGCAGACAGTGGTGAAAATCATGGTGAAGCAGCTGTGCCCCTGCATTGCGTGGAGGACCCTGCACTGGGGTGTGTGGATGAAGGAGTCTGAGCCTGCAGGAAGTCTGCACTGGGACAGGTTTCCTGGCTGAACCTGTGGCCCCATCAGAGAAAAGCCCATGCTGAAGCAGGTCTTGTGACCCTGTGGGGGGCTCACTGTAGAGCAGCCTGTTCCAGAAGGATGGCACACTGTGGAAGAGATCCATGCTGGAGCTGTTTGCCAAGAACTGTAGCCCCTGAGATGGATTCACATTGGAGAAGTTTGGAGGACTGTCTCCTGTAGGAGGGGCCCCACACTTCAGTGGGGAAAAAGTAAGATGAGTCCTTCCCCTGAGGAGGGAGAACTAACCCTAACACTGAGGAGAAAGAAAGAAGCAGCAGAGGCAACTTGTGATTAACTGACTGCACCTTTGTTCCCTGTCCACTTGTGCTGCCTGGGAGAAAGGAGGTAGAAAAAAATTGGGAGTGAAGTTAGGCCCAGGAAGAAGGGAGAGCTGCAAGGAAGGTATTTTTAAGATTTAGCTTTATTTCTTATTGTCTTACTCTGACTTGCTTGATAATAAATTGATATTCCCCAAGTCAAGCCTGGTTTGCCTCTGATGGTAAATGTTGAGTGATGCCTCTCTGACCCTCTCTTGACCCAGGAACATTTGGTTGTATTTTCTCTCCCTTGTCCAGCTGAGAGAAGAGATAGAGCAGCTTTGGTGGGTACCAGGCATCCAGCCAAGTTCAGTCCACCCCAGCTTCATGTGCAAATAGCCAATGTCTACCTCTTTAGAGCCTTTTCCTCTCTAGAGCCTTTTCACTGATCAGTCATAACATGAAGTGTTTGGATTCTTTACATTTTGACATTCAATATGATGGCTTTTATGTAAGTTCTTAAATTGTTTTTCAGTAATTCCAACATCTTTTATATTGTAGGTCATGCAGGAGTGTCTGCCAGCATGATGAAGAAAAGAACATCCCACAAGTAAGTTGTTGATATATTTACTAAAGAATAGCTCTCAGTAACTGAAAGTACTGTTCTAGAAATATACCTGATTGTTCCACTCTGTTTTTGAAAACTGTGGAATAATATTCAGTCTGTGTATGTGTGTAGAGTCAGACTTTTAATCCTTTCAGGAGGGTAGTAGGGTAAAGAAAGCCCCACAGATAAAGTTTTAAATGTTGTTTTGACTGTTAATATAATATTTTTTTTTATACAATTTCGAAATTCTTCTGGAATCTGTAGAGAAGGATTTTCAGGCCTAGCTTAGCCATGTCTACTGTAGGATGTTTGTTCTCTGGCACAGAGTTCATGCAGTCACCAGATCAAAAAAACCTGCAAATCATCCTTACTAAGAACCCAGTTGGGAAGGAATCTCAGATATATCTAATCATAGATAGCATTGTAACTATAGTGTTGGAAAAAATTTTTCATTTTTTAAAAATAAAGAATGTACTGAAATACTTCTGTAAGGAAGTTGCTGTTAGTATGTGAAGGAAGGATACCTGCTTTTGCTACCTTTTCATGGCATGTATTTTTCCATCTTCAACATCTTATATAGTGGCAGCTGAACACTGGTGAGTAGCTGTGTGAAAGTAGAGGTAACCTTCTGGATATAATTGGTCTTAGTGTCATGCAGCAAGATACCATATCTGGCTGTATCTGGTGAGAGAAATCTAAGTTGGGTAAGTGGGAAACTTGAAATGTTACCAGCTGTTTGTAAGTGTAAAGTCATGTAGTGTGTATCAATCACAGGCAATTTGTTTGGCAGGTGTATTTTCCACAATTAATCTAGTTAATCACTATTAACAGTGTTAACTGTTTCCCTGAGACAACACTTGATGTTAAACTACTCTGATGCCTTCCACCAGCTCATCATTATCCATTCTTGTCTATCTTCATAGAAGGCAAAGAGAAACATTTTTTTGTCTAGGGGCAGGTAGAGTTGGTTAAACTTTAATTTCTCTTGTTCTCTTTCAACCGCTCAGAGAAAGGAGTGTATGATGGGAAGACTATCAGAGGTGGGTTGCCTTTTGTACTTGAGGGTGGCTAGATTTGTCTTTATTGTTGTGTTAATATACACTTATTTAAATAACTAAATAGGCTGTAAACTTATTAGCGTAAAAGCTTTTGTGGGACGTAAGAAGTTTTGATCTTAAGTGACATAATTTTGAGGTATTTAATTAAGCATCCAGCTCAGTTTTATGTTAATTTAGCCTAGTTCAGTTTTTTATTACTTAGTTAAGGTTTTTTTGTACCAAGCCAAGGTGACTTCTTGCGTGCTGCCTGCAAATGAGGTGTAGTAGTGGAACATTGTTTACAGTTTACCATAAATGAGTAGGATATGAATATGATGTAATACTGTATGCTGACACTACTCTGAGCCAACATGATCAACTGTGAGTTAGTAATATACTTTGTCACTGATTTAGCTATTTATATAGTTATGTCCTCATGTAAGGAAAAAGAAAAAGAAGCCTACTAGTACTCAAAGGCCATTGAGATTTTAAAGGTTTGTTTTAGAAGGTTTGTGGCAGAGGAAGGAGCAAGGCATGACTAAGTAAGTGAGGCTGTGATAGAATGAGCAGTGTGGATGAGCCTTCTGAACTCTTTAAACAGCAGTTAACTATTTGTCAGACAATACCCTTTTCTTTAAAGGAAAGAGGGGCCCACAACCATTGAGTCTTCTGGAGATGATTCCCGTGGTTTTAGGGCAGTTCTTCCAAGCACTCTGTCTTGAGTAGTGGTGATCTCTGCCAATATGAAGCTGACCTCACTGGGATCAGATCAATCAATAAATTCAAAAATGTCATTCTTTCCGCGCTTAGTGTATAAGGATAGTGCAAATCTAGCACAGGTATGAAGCAATCCTTTCTTCATAGGCTCTCCAGATTTCTTGTAGTTAGCAATTCAGAGACTTGGAGGTGTAGGTTATAATTGCAATTTATTACAAGTGGACTTAAACATTTTGAAATTTTGATACCACTTTAATATAACGTGCTCTTGGCTTCTGCAGCATCCAGAGCTGAAATTCACAACTTAATGATTTTTTTTATTTTTGAAGGAGTACAGAATATACTTGAAAACTTCTGTATTAATTAACATACCTCATAGTCTGAATGTTCTAAAAAGTAGTTAATAACAATTCTCAGATCACCATTATGTTATTAGTGATAGACCTTAATTAGATCACAGTTGTATTAAGTTTTTTATCCTGTTTTCAATAACTTTTGTTTTGTACCATACTGACCACTGCTACTGTACTGCTTCTATAATGTTTTATCATTTTCATTCCAGTTTTTCACAGTTGTGTATGTTTTGCATATCTGAGAGATGTCATTTTCTTTCATCCTTCTGGGTTTTTTTTCCTTTTGGTGTTTTTCTGAGATGACATGATAAGGATAAAAAACAATCAACAACAAAACTTAAATGAGTAACTTTGTAGGTTACTGGGCATTGCCATTCCTATTTTTATAAATGCTAGTTTGTGTTTTAAGCACAACTCTCTGGTAATAGCTGATTTTTCTGCTAGCAGTCCTCTGCATTTGTGAAATATGTTGGTTTCCCAGATAGCAGTAGCCAAATTAAAGTTTGTGTAAGGACCATATAAACACAGCTTTAACATCTGGGCAGATTTCCTTCTGACTGTGTAGTCTTTAGAACATTTCCAAAGTATCTGGTTCTGATAATGAAACTTTTTCGCATTAGGTTTTTATTTAACAGCATACAGCCGGCGAGATAAAGAAGAGGATCAGAAACTTTTGGGAGTCGAAGGGCCGTTTACAATGATGATGTGTCTGATGTGTCAAGAACTACTTCCAGGACTTGCTATTATCTGTTTATCCTGGCTTCATTTCTTACATGTCTAATTGTTTTCAAATATTCAAGAGCAAATGTCTGTGGAAATTTTAAATACTGTTTTAGTGAAAGAGAAGGAGAAATTGTGTTGGACCTTCTGGATAGAACATCATAGAAGGTTATCTGAGTAACTATTACAAAAATGGCACACTGTTGAGGGAAGGAGATTTGGTTGCTTGGTTGTCTTACATGGAAGTACATTCATAACTTACTTCCTAATAGTTAGAACCTTTTGCTTGCTTTCTTACCATGTTCAGATACAAGAAGTAGGTTTTCCTTGATAATTTACTAGTTTGAGTATCTAATTTGTTATAGTATTAACCACTTCAAATGAGAAGTGAGCAGCTGTTCAATTATGCAACCTTCAAACAAAAATTTGAACTGCAAGTACATGTAGTGGGTACTTGATTTGTAATTAAATTCCTAAAAATCTTTGCTCTGTGAGGCATTTTAAACCTGTTTGAACTCAGTTATGTTATCTTCTTCATCTTTTTTTAGAGTGAGTGTAAAGTTTTCTACCGTATTGTTCCAAATAAATATTATGCTTTGTAGGCAGAAAGTGAAAGTTGACTGAGGTTGAATATCTATAGCATTATAATTTTTTTGAAAGATGAAATGATGAGCAACATAAACTGCTTAAACTAGACAAAGCAATGTCAGTTTAAACTTTTTTTATTTCTAGTAGTTTTTATTCCCTTCTGAAAGAACCAATGTTCCATTAGCACTAATTAAATGAATCGAATCGAAAACAACCTCAATTTTGTGCTGAGAACCTGATCTCTGAACTTATTCTGTAATAGTAAGCTATTACTGACGCTTGTTACAATTAGAAACACATATATATACCTGAGTAGAGCTAGAATCTGAAAGTACATTCTAGTTTTTGCGTAAAATTAGATCCAGCTTTGTGGGATAGTTTTTCTTTATAGGAACTCAAACCTGTTCCAATTATATGTGCTATCAAGGTTAGGAATGCAAAACTGCAGCCTGATCTTTGGAAACCTCAAATGATAACAAAAGTGAAATTTGAAAATATCCTTGCTAAGATCTTCATGATGAATTAAAATCTGGAGGTGGGACAAGTACAGAAGTTAATTGTGTATCTTCTTTTTAATAGTTATGATTACAGTTATGATACAGTGTTAAACATTCCACAATATCATTTTGTGAGTGTATTATTCTGAAATACTGCTTCCAGGATTTCAGTGGTATGATTGTTATCTGTGTTTTTTGGATCATCTAGGGACTTCTGTGAGAGCATTAATCATATCTGGAGACTTTTTTTCTTTGCTCACTATCTCTAATCTAAGGAACAATATTGCCTTCTGCAACTCATCTTTTAGATGTTACTTTTAAGCTAGTTGTGTGCACATATTACTGCCATTGAAATGATGTGTGCTACAAGTAGTAGCTCAAAAATTTGTTTTACAACTAGTTGATATCCAGGAGAACTTTGTATATTGTCATAATCCCCCTTAGTTTCTTCCATTTGTGTTCAAAATTGTGTTTTTAATAGCTGGATGAAACAAAACTTGTATACCACTGTCAGTGATTTGGAACTGTCAAATAGCTTACATTACAGTTCATCAGAATAGCAGCTGTTACTTACCAGAGGGAATTTTCATGCCAATTCCATGATAATATCAGAAGGACAAAAAAGTTACTTGATCTGTTTTCCACATAAAGGAGTATCCCTTCTCTGGCCATTTACATTACATGCGGTTTTTAATTTTCCATATTAAATATGGAAGTGTTGTTGCTGTCATGTGTCTTTAAAACTACTTGAAATCAAAATTACCTGTAAATGAAGGAGCCAAAATTTTCTTCAGGTGAAAATAGGTCTGTTTTAGGGAAAAACAAACACTTGGAAAGAATTTCAGTCAGCCACATAATGCTTGCACTGACTTCTTCCTTCTGGGAAGGAGTTGTTTACTGTTCTGCAGAGAGTAACAAGGTAGTAAAGTTGTAGTACTGCCAGGTAACCTTGTGTTTTGAGATTTGATCAGGTGAGTTTCACTTTTGACATTCAGTGTAGCAAGGGATAGAATTTGTTATTTTGGCTTAAGCAAACTACATTTAGAATTTACTGCTAGGAAACTGAACTTTGTATAAGACATGCTGTATGCATGCAAAAATGTGTCTCTACTTCTAAGTATGTTTTTCTTTTTTCCAATTAAATTTTAATAGCTTTATGACCTAATTTGAATAAGGTATGCTAAGCTATAAAATATATTGTCTTGTAAAAGCATACGGTTATTTTCTGAGGCAGATTATGTATGTACCTGTTTAATATTAATGTTTGTATCTGTGTACAGAAAACATAGAAACAATGTGGGACCAAGCAAACCTATTTCTCAGCCACGAAGAAACATTGTAGGCTGCAGGATACAGCACGGATGGAAAGAAGGAAGTGGACCTGTAACACAATGGAAGGGCACAGTTCTTGATCAGGTTCCTGTAAATCCCTCACTCTATCTCATAAAGTATGATGGATTTGATTGTGTGTATGGACTAGAACTTCACAAAGATGAAAGAGTTTCAGCACTTGAAGTTCTTCCAGACAGAGTTGGTAAGTATTTGGGTTTTTTCTCCTAAATAGATATACATATTGGCTGACATTTATCACCAAATGTTTTCCCTGCAGACTTCCCCCAGATAACCCATGACCACTTAAATGTTACTGCTCAATTTCACTTTTGTCTCATGGCAGGTAATCGAAATGCTTTGATTTTTTTTCTATTCCAACAAATTTTGATGATGCTAGTGAGTGCAGTTGCTGTCTTCTGTCTTTAAAGTAGTGTGCAGTACGTTCTGTAGTTTTCAGATTGACATTGATATTTATGTTAAATATTTCAACTCTAAGCCATCTGGACCATGTTGTCTATTTTGTGTGTCTAACAGTAATAAGGTTACATTTTTTCTTGTACAACCACCATGTACTACAATAATGGCTGGAAGACATTTTCTAAGTGAATTAACCTGATGAGTAATAATGCTTTTTGTTTTACAGAATTAGCACTTGGATTGTTAAACTGCAGGTTTTTCAATCCACCAAGTAAACACTAGTTTGTAAATAGAAAAAGCTCTTGCCTCTTCTAACTGCAAAGGAATTGGTTACAATCTGTAGGGTGGCGTTATGAGGAACCATCCCCAAAAGTTGAATTAATACCATCATACAACTGCCCTGAGATAGGCCTTTTGTTTCTGCCTCTCCCTGCCCAGTGTCTAGTTAAAGTACAGAGTCTTTGCTGCTTGATTGATCTCCTGCTAGCTTACATTGTGATTGTTCAATCACAGGGAGTACAATAATTCATAATTATTTTAACAACATTCTGAAGTTCTTAGTTCTGCAGCACTAAACTCTCTGGAATGGACACTATTTGTTTTGTGTATGAATTTACTAACTGCCAATAAGATTTGTGCATTAATCAGCATAAAGATTATTTTTACAAAGACACATTTTGAATGAATTTCTGAAATGCTGTCGTTTCAGCTTCGTCTCGAATTAGTGATGCCCACCTGGCAGACACAATGATTGGTAAAGCCGTGGAACATATGTTTGAGACAGAGGATGGCTCAAAAGATGAATGGAGGGGGATGGTTTTGGCTCGAGCTCCTATTATGAACACATGGTTTTATATTACCTACGAGAAAGATCCCGTCTTGTACATGTACCAGCTCTTAGATGATTATAAAGAAGGTGACCTTCGCATTATGCCTGATTCAAGTAAGTAGGCCACTAATGTTGGGATCCATAAAATTAGAGGGTTTTGAGGAAATGGTAAAAAAGACAGGCCTCATACAGCAGATTTGTGAACATTGCTAATGCAGCAGAAAGTTTTCTAAGCTGTAGCACAGACATGAGAAATAGAACAATAAACCTTTGTGATTTGCCCTTTTAGGTTGCAACAAGTTTATCTAATGTATATCTTTAGAAGGTTAATATGAATGAGTCTCTGTGCTTTGTCTCTCATAAATGAGCCACTGTGTTAGAGAAGAAGTCTCTATTCTGTTAACTACAGTTACGTGTGTTTCATATGATTGGATAAAATTATTGTCAATATGTTGTTGCTCTGTGTGTGATTGGCTGAAACCAGGACTGAGATGGCTTTGTGCTATGCTGTAACGTTACATTTCCTTAGCATTCCATTTGAATCAGCGAGCTGTTCACATCTGTTGTCTCCATTGTCCTAACAATGTACTGAGGCCGATGTTTGAAATAAACAGCTCACGGCACTGATTTTGGGTGTCCCGTCCCTGTTCGTGGTTGTATATAGACTGCCGATGGCAAAAAGTTACTGTTTTCTTTTGACAGCTTTTTGTGTTAAACATTTAGCTGTGGTTTATGTATGGTCAAGACAGCTGACAAACAACCATCATATTTGATATTCCATTTAATTTTTTTCAAAGTATCACAGCTAACAAATGTGGTAGTACAAGAAAGAACATCTGTATTAACTGCTGAAATATTTACCTTTTCATAGCAGTGACATATGCAGGGTAATACCTTTTCATAATTAATCCTAATTCTGCTGAAAATATGTGTGTTCTACCGTGAAAGACTTTACATTTTGGTTTTTTAGTGGAAATTTACAAGCCAGAAATCTTCCACTGCTGTTTTCTTATAGAAGTATCATATTGTGTGGAGTTGGCTCTTATTTGTGTCTCTGAAGCAGTTCTTGTGGGAATGAATATTTGGGGTCAGACTGATATAGTAAGAACAATTTCACTAGCTATGTGTCTTCAGCGTGAAAAACTTCTTGAGTAGTTGCTTGTGGGAAAGAAGTACTTATTTTTTGAAATTGATTTTCTCTCACATATTGTAACGCTAATAAGAAAAGATTTCCCCTTAGTATCTTTCCTGTCATTTTGGATGAAGTAGTCTTATTCAGAACTTCTATTGGTTTAGGAGGCTTTTCACAGAATCAATATTATTCTAGAGAGAGATTAGAAAGAATACTTTGGGTTTACTTCTCCTGTGTAACAAAGCCCTTTCTGACAAAAGCCATCTGGGATTTAAAGAAAATTATTGTAACTAATACATATGCAAAGCACTATGTAGCCAACCACTGCAGTTATCCAATTAGTGATTTGTTGAGTTTGAGATCATCTTCTTTCAGATGCACCACTGGTAATGATCTACTGGCAGAATAAAAAAGTGGCACTTATTTGCATAATCTCTGTGTTAATGATCTGTGTTTAGATTGCCATCTCCTCTGGCCCTAGCAAAAAGCAACATCTCTGATGCTTTAAAGAAGGAACCACAAATGTTAATGGGAAAAAGTGGTCTTCCTCTTCTTAAAGAAATAAAGCAAGCTCTTCCAGATTTGAATGTTAAAATAACTTGTTCTTTGTATTAACCATCAAAACGGACTAGGAATGTATTTTAAGTCTGCTTTGCTTTCTTCCACCTTCGGAGTAGGGAAAGCTTAAATGCTTTCTTTCCATTTGAATCTTAATTGGTTTTAGTGCACTTTACCCTCTGTGCTTGCCAAAAGATTATTGCTTACTGATTTTCTAAACACTTCTAAGTATTTGCTTCCTTTCCTGAATGTGAGTGCTTTCCAGATAGTTTGAATCATGTCCTTGACTCAACAATTGGATGTTAGTATTTTGGAGTAGTATTATTCAAAATCAGATTTTAGAATATCTACAAATACTTCTATAAATTTGGTGGAACTTGCCATAATGTTATAAATAAAATTCCTAGGGTACTGTCCCTTATCAAATATAGGTTCTGCAAATGTGAGGAGACCAAATAATAGGTAATTTGTTTTAAACTTTTTTCTTTTTGTGAGGGGAAAATATAGTGCTGGATCTGATACTAAAACTTGGCCTACACTTCTAAGTGAAAATGTAGGAGTTGAACTTGCATCTTTGCCAAGAAATATAAAACTCATACTAAGAGGGTAATAACTATGCGTGACAATGCATTTATAGAGGAAGTGAAAAACAAAAACCTTCTGTTTGCAAGTCTTTCAAAGTGCAAATGCAAGCCAGTCTATTCATTCCCTGTTGGTTTTTTTTTTCTCCTTTAAGAGTTTTTTCACAGCTCTCAAAACTCAAAATAAAATTGGTAGAATCTGTAAGGGATTCTTAATACAAACTTGTAACTAAATTATTAATTTAAAAGCTTATGATTTCCAGAATAAAAGCCACATCAGATATTGCAACTGCTTTAGAAAGTTTTCCTGTAGAATACAAACTACAAGTTTATCTGAATTAGGAATCAAAGAAGAGGAGTTGAGAAAGAAGATGTGGTTAGCTTTCAGTTCTCCACACAGTACTTTTTACCCTTTATCAAGTTCCGTAATTGGCTTGTATCCAATCACTTGGCATGCTACAAATCACACCTTTCATAATCCAGATTTAGCATAGGGATTGTCCGGTTAGGTTTTGCCACAGAGGAAAATAATACAGTCAGACTTAACCAAAATTACTCAAATAGGGAGTCAAAAGTCCCTTTTAATAAGGAGTTGACACCTACTACCATTTCAGAAGAGATGCTTCTGTTGTAGTTAAATGCACGCATTGAACCTTTGAATAATGTGTGTGGGAAGAGGGAAGTTAAGTTAGGGTACCTTTCTGCTAAGTAGATCCAGTGCCTTTTTCTGCTCATTCAGCAGAAATTCAGCTATCTACAGCCATTTTCTACAACTTGTGCATACACCCTCCTGTCAAAGTTTTACTTCTCTTATCAAAGTGCTATTTTTGTCTTAATAACACTGAAGACAGCATTGCTTGAAGACTTTTTCTGCAACTACTTTCTACAAGCATGGCAATTGTTAAATGCTTGTCTGAATGAAATTAAGTAATCTGTTTACAAATTCTAATTGTTTTGTATGAGTTTTAAAGATGACTGTGCAGTTTTCTTTCATAGTGCAAAATTTTATTAAAATGTCTACTAAAGCATGCTGGGTTTATGTTACAGATGATTCACCTCCTGCAGAACGGGAACCAGGTGAAGTTGTGGACAGCCTGGTAGGCAAACAAGTGGAATATGCCAAAGAAGATGGCTCGAAAAGGACTGGCATGGTCATTCATCAAGTTGAAGCCAAACCATCTGTCTATTTCATCAAGTTTGATGATGATTTCCATATTTATGTCTACGATTTGGTGAAGACATCCTAGACATCATCATGAACTTTTGCCAAATTTGTGGAACTATTAAATGTAAAATTTGTAGACACAAAGACTTGACTGCTTTCCAGTTTAACGAAAGCTTAAATGTCCCTGCGAACCCACAATCTCTGCCAGCAAAACTGTTTTGTTCTGAGTAATACAAACATGACACATTTTGTGTAAAAGAACTCCTTTTCTTGAAGGAAGTCAGTATGTTTGGGCAGGAGGGAGTTAAAAGCAAAGAACAGCTGCAAATTCAAGCTGTGTAAAGTTGATCTAGTGTTGTAATCATTAATCTAAATTTTTTCATAGATTTTGACTTTTTCTTCAATCTTGCACTCACTTGTTCAACTGCCACATGCAAGTGTAGTTTGATATTTTGATACGCCTTCTTTTGTAACATTAAATTTAATTTCTTGGATACTGGCAGTCCTTGTCTTCAGGGTTGGGACAGAGGTGACTTTTCTGAAAGGTTTAAACAGTTGGTGCAGTATCAAGGAGTGCCTAACCCAAGTAACATCAATCTGCTGTGTTTCTACACTTTATTTCAAATTTAGCTTTTTAAGAACTTGCAGTGTGTGGAAATGCTTGTGCATTTTTTACTAGTCACAGGGCAGTAGGATATCAAGTGTTGGATTACGCACCTTTCAGTGAAAAGGCTTTAAGCTATAAAATTACATTTAATCTGTATAACCACTTAATTAGAATATGCAGGTTAATGGCCCATATTTACAAGTTGTAGGAACCAGTAAAATACATGCAACAAGGCTGCCTTCAATCCTAAATGTTGTACTTCTTTCTTTGTTATACACACTTCTTAGCAAAACCCAAGTGCTTGGTGCCACAACTCTAACAGTATATATGCTATTTCAGAAGACTTTAGACTACGCATTGGCATCAGTAGTCTCTCATTTAAAATCAAAACCTAGCAACCTGAATGTTTGTGTGTGGACTTAGAAGCCTAACAGTAGTTAATATTTTACATGATAAATACAATCTTACACCAGGGGAGTGGGAGGGGATGTCCTTTTACAGTGAAGATGCAATTTTAGAGAAGGAGAAGCATTTGTTGCCTTCTGCTCAGTCTGTTGCATTCCTTTGTTTGGTTTGCTTTTAATAATTTTGGTTCAAGAAGGCATCTTCCCGGTTTATTCATTTTCTGGCTTTTCCACTTAAGGAGTGTCTGGAAAAATCTACAATTTAAACCTGTTGTTGCCTTTTGTGGTGTACATTGTACTTGCTTTGAGGTATGCTGTTAACATTAATTTCATTCTATGAACACTAGAGTTCTGCATGCCAGTGGTGTACTATCTAATGGAAGCTATAAGGCAGTCTCAGTGGTTCAGTCATCTGCATTGGATTGTGGATGTAAATAGCAGCCCACAACTGCAAAATTTTTTCATGGTTATAATCTTGCAAGATAGTTGTAAATGAAAATTAGGGTTTCCTTAAGTGTGGCAGCTTTTAAAAATAATGGAATTGGAACAACAGTGCAGCACAGCAACAAGGTTGTCATGTTACATTAAGGCAGAGCTCTGCAAGTTTCAAGAACTGCTTCACAGAAGTACAGAACGTGAAGACAGTTAACACTGTTGATGGAAGGAACAAATACCCTGATATCCAGCTGTGTGCCATTAGTGGAAGAATGCAGGAGCTGTTAATCAGAGGACAGAGGTGCAGATGACCTCTGTTGTGGGTATTCCTGATATTGAAGACTCAGTGGTTTAAGCCCCTTTCTGTCCATTTTTTTGCCTGATTTCATATTTTAGCCTTAAGGCTTGTGCCTCATTATGCTGTTGAATGGTAATAAATACTCTCCGTATAAATATGATACCTTAATTCTTTGTCCATTGCTACTATATTGCATTATGTCCAGTATTTCATCATGGGCAACCAAAAGCAGGCTATTGTCTTTCAGTGAATAGCTTCCGATGCAGTCCTTATGCAGTAAGTACCCGAGTCGTAAATGTTTCTTGTGTTTGAACAAAGTGAGCAGATTTGCAACACAGTGTTTTCATCCTGCAGATCTGTTGTGTTTTCTATTGACTCTTAAGAGTCCTGCATGTAAATCTCAAAGCTGAGCCTGGCTCCGTGAGCCCAAGTCGATATTTGTGGCACAGGAATGAGTGAGTGTATTAATTACACACAAGATACATGGATTACCTAGTACACTGAGCTTGGGGCTATATATCTGAGGAATAAGAGGTTTGTTTTGAAATATCTGAGGTTTAGGTCTACTGGAACACTTCTAGAATTAGGCTTGCATTTGTGGGTTTTCTGCAAGCCTATTGAATACACTATGTATTCTGACAATTAGAGTATAATCTACAAACTGTAAATTTCACTGTCATTTTTGGATGTCCCCGTTTGTCTGTTGTGTGGATATTTTCACTTGGGGTTTTTTTGGGGATATTTTTTTTGTTTTGTTTTTTTGGGTTTGGTTTTTTTCGATAGCTTAAACCACAGTTTTGAGGCTTGAGACTAATTCCACTCCCTGCCCATCTGCTTTGGGCTTTGTTTTAGGCTCATGTTTCAGATCTGCATGCAGTGCTTGCGTTACCCTGGTAACTAAATGTTGGTTCCTTGTTATAGGGGTTCAACATTACTTTCCAAAATCACATAGGGCTTGTGATGGCACAAGCCATGGATCTTTGTATAAAAAGTTATTCACCTTTCACATTTACCTGCTGTAGTATTGTTGTATATTGTGTGTGTGCGTGTGTGTGATGTCAGGCTGCCATGTAAAACTTAAAAGGGAAAAAAAAACAACTTAAATGCAGACCATCCTTTTTTGCATGCTTAGAGGGTTAGAACATTCAATGTAACAAACTAAAGTTGCATGTTAAAATGTTTAGGTTTTTGTTTTGTTCTGTTTTTATTTTGTGTTCAGTTTTTTGTGAATTTGCTTATTGTGCTGTTTTAATGGTTGTTAGTAGGATTAAATGCACCGGTGAGACGAGCATAGTGCCAACGGAAGGTAATTTTCCAGTTGTATGTGTCATACAGCATTTGAAGGGACCATGTATTCTGTTGAAGAAAAAAATAAAATTTCAGTTGAATAGCAGAACACTACATTCTTCTTCTTTCTTTTGAGTGCCAAACCCTAAACTATGTTGGAATAGAGATGGGGAAAACCCTTTTTGTTGGAATAGGTAGAAGCATTCTTTAAATGGATTGTTTAAACATAGGGGCTTTGTCTTCAGAGAGAATTGTCTAGTTGCATCAGGGAAAAGAGTTATGGTAAAAACAGTTTCTGGTTCCTTGAAAATGCTGTGCTTTTTGTATTTTACATCATTAGTGCAATTTGGATGGTTCTTGGTATGTGTATAGTTCAGAGGTCTTCGTGTTCACATTTTTAAATTAGGTAATTAATTCATCTTTAGAGCTTGGTTTCTTTATTTTTATTTTATTTTGAACAATGTAGACAGTTCCCTGTTCTCTGCATTTAGAAGTATAAACACTTTAAATTGTTACTTAATTCTGTAAGTAATTTTTATAATTATGATGTAACTCTATCCTTAAAACATTTAAAATAAACCCTTTATGTGCAACTTATGCCTGTAAACTTTGTTCTCATGAGCAAAACACAGAGATGTGATTTCAGATTTTGAAGAAGCAGTTTCTTCATTTTTCTGATTGAAGGGGATTTATTATTTTAATGTTGAGCCATGTATGCTGGTATAATACTTGCCCTATGAAATATGTTTGCTTGCAAGATGGGACTTGCCTAAGGAAAAGTATACTGTTAAATTGTATTTAACTAAACACAGAAAACTCCCCCCCACGAGGGGCTGTGCAGATCTGTGAAGCAGTCTCTATTTCCAGAGCACACAAAATGTCTTGGCAGTGGGGAACTGCAGAAGCATTTTGCATGTTTCAGTGTTTTGGTGGTACATTAATTTACTTTGAATTAAAGCAGTTTAAAATTTAATAAAGTGTATTGTTCTGGTGATAAAAAACAAAGTTGATGCAAATTGGAGGTGATGAGGAAAGAAGATAACATTACCATGTTGTGGATTTTCTAAAGTCTTCTATGTTGTTTTGAAGACTTTATGTGGTTTAATTACTAAGGCAGGCTTCCCATATTGAACAGATTTTTCTTTATTACTTTTCTGATAATAAAGGGTGCATGGCACTTAAAGGATGTGGTATAGTGGTAAACTTTGTAGTGTTAGGTTAACAGTTGGACTCAATGATCTGAAGGATCTCTTCCAACCTAAATGATTCTGTGATTCTAAACCATGTTTTTGGCACCAAGCTCATTTAGTCATATACTGAAGAACATGGAGAATATGGAGAATCCCAGCATGCATACCCAAGCCTTTTCCCTTAGTTCATCATCCAGTTTATTGTATCCTGTTGCCTCTGACACTGCTCCCAGTGAAGATTTATATTGTGTACATCTGTGATTAAGGAGAGTCTAAGACTTTATTCCAAAAAGTCTTTGCACCTGCGAAAAGTAGGTGTTTATCTCTGTGATCAGTCTGTTAAATTGTAGTTAACAACAGATACTTACACTTTGTGACTAATGCCTGAACCTGTTCTGTATTACCACTAATAAACCACCCTCAGTTTGGTGGCATCTTCCTCTGTATAGAGAAAAAGAGAAGGCTTAGAAAAGCAAAGATATTTTTGTTGTCTATCATTGCAGTAATGAACTCGCTCCTGAGAGCTGGTTGCTTACAAGCTGACTTACAAGCATCTGAAATGTCCCTCAGATTTAAGAGGGTGATAGGGGTCTTACTCAGAGCTATTGTGTTAATGCTGCTGTATTGTATTTTCACATCTGTCAGGTTCCTCCTTGTCAATATGAACAGGTTAAATTTTCATGGGGAAAAAAAAAAGTTATTCGCTCACTGAGTTATTTATTTTGACATAATTTTTTTTTTTTTTATATTCATGCTATAAGCAGTGGAACCATTGATGACTTCAGGGGACTACTGCTTTCTGGAAAGGATAAAGTTCAGTAAGGATATTTTGGAGGAGGTTGGGCTGCTGTAATTTAAGATCATTAGGGGACAAAAGGAGAAGTAAAAATAGGTGAAGGTAATTAGAGGTGTGTTCTTTCATCCTCAAGCACTAGATAATAAAAGATTTTTACTATTTCACAAACTTTGAAGCATTATTTTCAATCTGACTCATTTTTCTTTCAGTAAGTTCCTGCCTCAGCATGTTGCATCATTAACCTCTTTGCCAGTATCAGTAAATTACCATTTTAATTCATTTCAGGATTTACAGCCTGAGGAAGTTATCAAACTACTCAGGATTTTTTTAAGCTCTGCTCTTCCCATTGCCTTGTGAGTTTCCTGATTTCCAAACAGAGTGCAGAGCTCTATATGCACAATGTCCACCTGTGTGTGCATATAACAGGATGCAGCTGAGATCTCAGCAGTGTAAGTGAGGTGGTGTCAACACTTCCCTATTCTACACAGATGTTCATTACAGATCTCTGCACATTTTTCTTCCGAAATCAGTAATGATTTGCTTAACTTCACTTGTATGCAACTTGTGTGAATGGTTCTGCAACCTCACAGTTTAAGTACCTCTATGTTTTGACACTGGTCCCACCCACCCCCATGCAATTAATCCTTAAATTTGTTTATATTCAATGGAGTCTCACTTTTACAGGCCCTTATTTAGTAGTTTGATGCCATTGTTCCTCACGTCTATAGACTGATCTGTTTGAAGCTGACTTAAGTAATGAACATGGACATCTTCACTTTTAATTTGATTTGTCACTTCCTAAGGATGTTCTACCCAGATCTGAGAGATGAGAGGCAATTTTTTTTTTTTAATTAAAAGAAAAAAAAAAAACAAAACACAACTTTACACTACTTTAAACACACATTTTTGTTGATCAAAGTGATTCCTTGTAAACAGCCACTGAGGAGAGAGTGGTCTTATTTTTCTCTTTCTTTTATGGACGATTACTCAGTGTCAGGGCCACACTCATCTGAGTTTTGGGCTGATGCGTTTTGTTCCTGTGGCACTAACTAGCTACACATGATGTATTCAGCTTTGAAATGGGCTGGGGGATGACTGATTAAATTACCTTCATAAAGACCTTTACCACTGGATAAAAGCTGTCACTAATTTGTTTGATTTTGCATACTGTTCACAAACTCCTCACTATTTTTAGCTTACAGAGGCAGATGTCTAACTTGAACTTCCATTGATTTAATGAATTACGAAACATTAGCCTTTTAAGCTGTAAGAACAAAATAAATTGGCACTAACAGCAGAAGCACTAGAGAAGATAAAGTGATTAAAACGTTGTGCTTGAAGTGTTGAAAGACTGATAACAGCAGTTTTTACAAGTAACTTTTCGATAGGATGCCACACATTTCATT